TCCGTAGCCGAGAACCCCCCCCCATTACAACCTTTCCCCCTGCAACCCCAGCACGCCCCGACACACATCCGGCCCGCACACCCAGCCAGCCACCCACCGCGACAGCTCCCCTTCCGCCAGCGGTTTGCCGTCCTTGGTGGCGGGTTTGTACACCTCACTGGGCAGCTGCATGTCGGCGTTGCTGACACCCACGGGGGCCGCATCTTCCATGACGATGGCCGGAACCTGCGGCAGGTACGGCAGCAACAAGAGGTCAACGGGGCCCGGGGGGAGGGGGAAACAAGGAGGTGATGACGGGGGGGATGAAGACGGAGGAGGGGAAAACCGGGAAGGGCTGGATGCGGAGGGGGGGCTTTTGCAGTCTTGTATACAAAAATACCCCCCCCCCCAAAAAAAAAACTAAAACAGCGATAGAAAATTTCACATGAACCAAGAGAGAGAGAGAGAGAGAGAGTGCATGTGTGTGGAGGGGGGGGGAAGAGGGGGACGGAGGGAATGAGGAAAAATATCTGTGTCTGAAGCTGTAGACTGCTTCACCCGCTGTTTCAACAAACGTTTCCAAACCGCCGCCGTACGCAAACCGCTATCTAGTGCAAACAGCGCCACATACATACATACATACATACATACATACATACATACATACATACATACATACATACATACATACATACATACATACATACATACATACATACATACATACATACATACACAAGGGTGGGGGACGCGTACCTCGCTGCGGATGGTCATATCCTCCACCACCGGTTTCGGAGCGAAATGGAACCGACTTAGCGCATCGAGTTTGAAAGACAGCATCTTGAACAGTGCCCGAGCCTCCTGTCGTAACTTCTCGTCCTTGTCCTCTGCCGTACCGCCCGTGACCTTCCGTACATAGTCCTGCTCGTACAGCTCCCCCAAACCTGACTTGGCCTTTGTGTCGTCCAGCTCAATTTCCTTCTTCCTGATGTCCAGCGGCGGCGGTACGACACGTACGACATCGTCAAACCGGCGATTCGCGATGCGTTTCTTGATCATGGCCTCCAGATCGTTGGTCATTTCATCCGTTTGTACGGGCGCGGGTTTGGCTGTACGGCACATGTTGGCATAATAAAACGACGCAAGTGGTTACGTGTGCTGTTTGTTGTTGTTGTTGTTGGTGGTGGTGGTGGTGGGAGAGGTGGTAAGTCTCCATCAATGGACCTATCTCTGGACAAAGCCCTCCAGCGGTACTCCGGAGAAGTACGTACGTACATACGTGCATATGTATGTACGTACGTATGTAGGCCAGCCGATCAAAAACACATTGCAACATCCTTTTTAAATTTTGCAAATCTGTCCAAAACCCGCCATCCGCTTGCACATCCTCTACCAACCGCCCCCACCCTTTTCCCTCAACCCCCCACCCCCTCCCCCATCCCCTCTCCCAGCCGCACCCGTCGTTTCAAAGTCCATGTCGAGCTCCAAGGCGCTGTTCAGGGGTCGCGATGTGCCCGCCACCTCCCCCACCAAGTGCCAGGACTTGTCCGCCAGGGCCTCGGACTCCAGCTCAGCGACCCGCTCCTAAACACATCCCAAGGGGGGGGGAAAACGGGGGTGGGGGGGGAGCGAGAGAGGGAAGGAGGGAAAAGGAAAATAGTTGCTGAGGGAAAATTGCGGTACGGCAGTACGGCAGGGTTGCAACGTAGGCCTAGGTAGTTTGGGTTTTCGTTTTTCCACGCGCAAATTCTTCTCTCCCCCCCCTTCACTCGGGCCTCCCCGCACCAGCACCAGCACCAGCACCATCTTCCTCTTGACGACAGCATCCGAGAGGCAGCTAGCTGAGGACGTGAGGCTATAACTCTCCCCTCCCCCGACCCACCCCCCCGCTCCCCCCCCCGGGGTTGCCCTCCCCACTGCCCCCATATCCTTTGTGTTTTTCCCCACCTTAACTCCCAACCCCCTCCCTCCCCCGCTTCTGCCCCGAAACACAACCCCACTCCCGTACTCCCGTACTCCCGCACCTGCATCCTCGCCAGTCTTCGTTCATGGGCGGACATCACGTCCGGCTGCTGCCTGTCTTTGGCGCCCTTAGAGCTCTTCGTGGCCTTCTTGGACTCGGGCTCCCTGGAGCCTTTCAAAAGGCCGCCCTCCTCCTCCTCCTCCTCATCGTCATCGTCATCATCTGCCTCCCCAGCGAAACCCCCCCCACCCCCGCGAGCACCTGCAGCCAGAACCCGGGGGTCGGGGAGTTGGGGACGTGGGTTTGGAAGAGTGTACGGCACAGGGTGTACGGCATACCGGCCCACAGCTCAGCTCAACCCTGGCTCTTAGAAGCGAGGCGCGGGGAGAGGTGAGGTGAGGTCCGCACACGCCTCTCCTACACGTGCCGTACCGCGTACCCGACCGCGAGGTGGGGGGTGGGCGGTGGGGTGAAGCGGCAGGGGGGGCGGCGCGGGTGTCCGCGGGTCGGAGTGAGACCTCCGCCCCGCCCCCTGCTCTACTCGCCCTACTCTAATCAGTTCAGCTAACGGTGCAGACACGCACACACGTTTAGGGTGCGAAACCCTTTTCCCCCCCCCCGCAAACCCCAACAACCATTCCACAACCCCAAATCCACTCACCAGCCTTCTTGCCGGAGAGCCGTCGTGCTGCACCGCCATCCTCCTCCTCCTCCTCTTCCTCCTCCTCCTCCTCCCCCTCCTCCTCCTCCTCCTCCTCCTCCTCCTCCTCATCATCATCGTCATCACCGTCTCCACCCCCGAAGAAGTCCTTGTATCTGATCTGAGCCGCCGCACCAGCCCCCCCTCCCCCCCTCCCGGCCACTTTGCCCTTCTTCTTGCCTGTTCAGGGGGGGGGGGTTGTGGGAATCACATGCACGAAACTCAGAAACGAAATGGTGTGGGGGAGAGCAGTGAGCGGCTTACAGGGATTATTATTACCCCCGGGGGCACTACCACCTTTGCAGCACCCACCCGCAGCAGCTGCCGCGTTCTTTCGCAGCGCCTCCATGGCCTCATCATCATCATCATCGTCATCATCCATCGCTGCGGGGGCGGGGCCCGGCGGGGAGGGGGGAAAGGGGTAAGCCAGGGAACATATGTGTATTGAGATGTACAGCGTGATGGGGGAGGGAACGGGGGGAATGGAGGGCACGAAAATCTAATGTCTGTATATGTCTGTCTGTCTGTCTGTCTGTCTGTCTGTATGTGAGTGCTAGTAATGATGCCCGTGGCCAGTGTGCCATGCCCGGACAAGCAGTCATGCAAGTACGGCACACACAGCTTCCCAACTCTACACAACTACTCCTAAGCCTCCTCTCCCGTCTCCCTCCTCCATCACTCCAGGGAAAGCAATCCCCCGCGGCGTCACCTCCCCGCTTTTACACAAACACACACACACACACACACACACACGCACACACACACACTCTCTCTCCCTCTTCACGCTCGCCCGCTCAGGAACCATCAACCTCCCCACCCCCCCCTTCTTCCAGCTCCCAGCTCCCCCCCTTACCCCCCACACATAACCACATACACAAACACACACGCACCTCCAAACAGGCCGGCACCCTCCTCCTCCTCCTCGTCGTCCTCCCCCTCACCCCCTCCCCCAAACAAATCCTCCTCCTCCCCCCCTGCCATGGCCCGCCTCTCCGCATCCTCCACGTATCGCTCCAAGTCGCTGAGGCGGAAGAACCGGTCCTCCAAACGCGGCCCCCCGGACTTGGACTTGGACTTGGACTTGGCACCGCCGCCGCCGCCATGATCATCTGTAACACCGCAAAAGGATTGTTTTAGATCTGATTGATATGCTTGACATGCACAATATCAATCAACCTAGTGCTGCGACAGGAATCCAATTTTACAAAGTTAATATCGGCTTCTTTAGTCGCAAAAAAAAGCGGAACAGGCGAAAGGATTGAAGTTCAGTTCAAGTGCTTGTGAGGGGGGCAGTGTAACGCGTCGCGAAAAAAGTGTATGCGCAAGAACAGCCCGCCCGCCACTCACCTCACTTCGCGCCTCTTCGTTTCCGCTTCTCCCCCATAACGCTGTATATATCGCACACCCCAGCTCGATTTTGACCTCGACTCACCTTTCCGGGTCTTCTTGGCCTGAAGACGCCGCCGCCGGCCCCCCCGGCCCGCGCCCTCCTCCTCATCCTCATCCTCCTCATCATCGTCGTCATCATCATCATCCTCGTCGTCGTCGTCGTCGTCGACCTCCATAGCATCCGCCCCCCCCTCCTCCTCCTCCTCCTCCCCGTCGCTGCTGCCATCCTCATCACCATCTTCGCTGCCGCTACTGCCGCCGCCAGCAAGCAGCCGGTCAATACCGGCCGCAGCCTCCGCCGTCAGCAAGCCAGAAGCGGCACCGCCGCCGCCGCCGCCGCCAGCAACCCCAAGCGGCTCCGCCACGCGAATAAGTCGCCGTACACGCCGTACCGCCGCCTCCGTCGCCAACTCAAGCTGTGTATGGGGTGGTAGTGGTGGCGGTGGTGGGGTTGCGGGGGAAAAAGGGACAGGGTGATGATGACAGTGGCACCATAAGAGCTTGCGGCCAGCCGTACACATCCGCGTCATACTCTTCGTACCTTCCCCTCCCCCCTTTCCCACCAGGTCTTCCCAGATTTTCCCCCCTTCCAACTCACACACACACACATACACACACATACACACGCACAAAATCTCTCCAGTCACACAATCATCTCTCCAGTCTCCCTCCTCCTTTGCCCCCGTACAGTCGCGTCGTCACTAGTACGACACGTCGCGTCGTCCGTACAGCAGCAACACCCTTCATCACGAAATCCCCGTTGGCCACAACACACGACGCTGGGCATCACGTGATGCACGTGCGGCCGTACTGCTGCTGCTCACTACTATTCCGGTGCAGTAGGGGCGGGGCGGCTCCCCCCCCTCACCCACTTGGAAAACACCAACCTGCCGGCGGTGGAGTTCAACTGTTCTTCAGCTGCGTCATCGGGTGATCGTCGTCGCTTTGGAGTTTGGAGCCATCCATTCATTCATTCACTCATTCATTCATGCACTCAGTCAGTCAGTCAATCAGGAGTTTGCGCAATCCAATTTCGGACGTCCACCGCTGGCTGGTGTTGTTGTCCCTTCTTGACTTTGTCGCATGCGGCTGCCCCCCCCCCCCCCCGGCTGCCCTCCTGAACAGCCAGGCCACCCTCCTCTCCCGCGGCCCCCCTTACACACATATATGTATATATACATACATATATACATATATACATACATACACAAAGACCACCCGCATGGGGCCCTTTGGTTCTTCCCTGTCGTTGTGGTAATACGAGCCTCCCCCCCCCAATACACACTGACACCCCCCTAAGCCCTCCAAACCCGGTGCCGCGACCATCCCTTCCCCTCTCCCCCTCCTCCTCCCTCTCTCCGCCCCCCAACACACACTCACACACACAAATACACAAATACACACACACACGCGCGCACGTACCTGCAGCCATATTTGCTCCGGGTCGAACGAGGTGTCCGTGTGCAGCTCCGGGAGGGGCGCTCCGAAACCGCTCCGGAGAGCCCTCCGCTCCGCCCGGGCCCCCGCGCCCGCCCCGCCGCCATCCAGCAAAACCCTGGAGCACTGCTGGTACAACAACTGCGATTGAGAGGGTGGGGATGGGGGGTAAGACGAACCACTGGCGAATGAAACGTGTGTGTGTTTGTTTGGACACGTGTGGTGGTACTTCACGGGGTGCAGGGACTTAAAAGTGAAAGGGGGGAAAGAAAGATTGCTAATGGGGGGGGTGCTGGAGGGGAAAACACACATACACACACACACGGACGTGTCAGACACGACTTGCCCCCCCATGCGGACGTGGGGAGATGGTATTTAACTGAGACCCCCGACAGGCGGGGCCCCTTCTCTCTCCCCGCCTACTGAGGCAGTCAATTACCATTTAGACTGACTCTGGTCAACCATGCAATGATTTCAACCCCCCCTGCCCCCCCCCAATCTACTGATCAAGTCACTAAGGGCCCATATCTTACTTCTTCTTCTGCAGTACCCCCCCTCGTCGTACCCCCCTCTCCCCCTCTCGCACCTTGGCCGCCTCCCTGGCCGCCGCCGCCACCTCCCGGGATGGCCTCAGGAACACGGAGGAGCTCTCCACTCGGGTCTTTAGTACATACATACATACATACATACATACATACATACATACATACACGCGGGAAGGGGACGGTCGAACCAGGTGGCGTGAAAGGGAAGCGAATTGGAAGTGTCCGACCGAAAGCGGTTAGGTGGGGCAACAAGTGAGAGCAAAGAGCGAGTTACTGATAATGTACGAACGTCCCTCAAAATGGAAAATCAACAAAGCAACCACAGCTTCAGACCAGACCTCCTGTGCAGTACCCAACCACGTCATCTTCTCCCCTCACCCGCCCCCTCCCCTCAACCCCCCTCCCCTCACCCGCCCCCTCCCCTCACCCGCCCCCTCCCCTCACCCGCCCCCTCCCC